CTAGATTAGCTTTTAAATTGGATCGGGAGTGTGCTTTTTGAGAAAAATCTCCTAACGCTTCTCACAGTGCTTTGGTTCGCAACGTAGCGTGCTCTCAGAGAGCATGGATTGGATTCCTTTCAGTTAAAGCTAACCTAGCATATTCCGGCCACAAAGAAGCTTTCAGTCACCCAGACAATAGAGACTCTGAAGTAAAAAAATAAAGAACCCTGAAGCGAGCTGCATTAGGCCCTCAGCACCTTTTTTTTTTTCACGACAGACCCAAGATCTTCTTGACTTCAGCAGAGGGGAAGACGTGCTTCCAGGGTACGTCATCCAAGCATTTTGGGATGAAGTTGACCGGATCCTAGAGGTGCACGTTTCTATCCTGCAGAGGCAATCTGTGGTGACTAGCTCTTATGTGAAATTCTACCCCTGGAGAGAAGAATCGTATCTGAACCAGCTGCAAAGTTAAGAACGTATTAAGTATTAAATACTTTTCCAAATGCAGGTGGGGCTACTCCTGAACATAAGCCCATACTGCAGAACTTCACAGAAGAGAAGCTTCGATTGCGAGTTTTCTTCTCAGCTCAACAGAAATCTGCTCGGCCATATGAACAGAAGCGGAAGCATTTATTAGGCTTCTTTTGGATGAGGTTTGCTCACTGAACACATGAATGCAGAAAAATTGTAAATGATAACAACAGATAAATTCTAGTGTAACATAAAATACAAAATGACCTCTTCCTCTTAACTAATTAGACTAAGTCTAGCTCCCACAACAAAGGACTAGTGTACATTTCTCAGTTGCTGAGGTTCATAACTTTCAATACTACAGCATTTTTTTGTGATACGAAATACACAAACAACTAAGTAAATCAGCTTTAGTTGCAGTGAAATCAAAGCGTTGTGAAATGTGTTCTGTGTTAAGGAATAAGATAGAAAGCAGAGAAGCACAGGGCTGAGTCTTCTTGTACCACCTACATTTGGAAAACATTTGTATGTTAGCGACAGCCTGACAAGGATGACCCTAAGCAAGTACAGCTTGAATTGCTAAAGCTTTTCTTACCCGGTTATTTAAAAAAAAAAGTGTTGGTAGATGCAGTGCCTACAGTTTCTTCAGAAGACCATATGACGGGTCAAAGTCATGGTTTGAGGGGAGCAGCTTAGGAAGTACAATTGCCCAGAGCGACTCACAGACAGATTTTATCCCAGATAAAGCATTACCTCATTTGTTTGTGCAACACGCTCTCCCTCAAGAACAGGGAGGACCTCTCCAGTGCTGTCCCAGGAGTGGGGCAGCCTATTGGGCACCGGCTACAGGGCACAGAAACTGGGCCTCTCCCCAGCCATGCAGCAGACCCCTAACACCTCCTGCTCTCCTCCTCCAGCTCGTAACTTATTCTGACGTGCTCAGCAAAAGCCCTTTTTCCTTTTTTTCCCCAAAACTATTGGCTGCACCAACACTATCAATATCAGCTCTCCTCTTGGGATCTGCTGGTCCGCCCCGGCTACCCAAAGAACTGTGCCATGTCTTGCAGATATTGTGTTCTCTGGACCCCATGCTAAGTATGCCCTTCTATTGATGCCTCCTGTCCTTGATATGTTGCTCTAGGGTCATCATGGGCTTATGGTCCCAGATCGCTCTGGCTACATCCACATTAATGCATAGCACATAAAATAGGGATGGGCCCAATGGATGGCCCACTGTCTGGCTCTGGCAGGAAGAGATGTGTCATCCATATGGCTAAATTCTCTTACAGTAAAGCAAAACAATCAAAAAAATCACCTTCCTCCCCACCGAAATAGCAGATTACTTGGCAGCATTAGGAGCCCTTTCCTAGACGCCCTCTCCAGATGTGTTAAAGCACAGTCAGCTTTCTCAGCCCAGGCTCCATCTAACGCAGTGGTATTACTGAGTGGCTCCAGAACCCCCTTCCCAACAACGGAAGTCCCTTCTCTCACTCTTTCCCCTCTGTCCTATTAATATATTTATTCAGGCAATCGGCTCTCCTTTGCTCATTCCTGACTCCATAAAAGCTTGCCAGGTCACATAATTTAGGAAGGGCTTCGTGCTTTTGAGGTGACAGGAGAGGTATGGGGCCACCACTATTGATTTCATGTGGAAAATACTCAGATCACATGATGGTAAGATGGAAACCTAAAGACTTTAAGAGCGTTGTACAGCTAACACAGGTTAGAATTCAATTGAGTTGACAAGTCTCTGGATTGAATTTTTTTATTTGACACCGGCACACTGTGACACCCAATATTTCTTTAAAAGAGGTAGTAATATTCACCTTTTCCTGATGGTCTTTATGTCAATCTGATCTGCAGCAGATCAGATGAACCTGTCTCAAGGCAAGTGGTACACTGGGGCAGCGTGGCTAAAACCTGTCAGATTATGCGCTCGATTGCACCAAGAGGATCTCACAATCCTGTCTGATTGTCTTTGGCTCCTCAGCTCAGATGATGGGACGCCTGTTCCCAGGCAGCTCAGTTAAAGTCAAAAGCAAAATGTGAACTTGTATCTCAACCTGCAAAAAGAGCTGTTACAGAGAGGATTCATTTCACTGAATGTAGCTGAGATGAAGACTGGAAGTATCAATCACCTTCTGCCTTAATTGCTGTACAAAAATGCCTGTCCCTAAGCTTTGGCTATAGAGGAAACACAGATGCCTGGCAGAGACTAAATGCGTAGCTTTTAGATGGCAAGCTAGGTGAATCAGCTCATGCTTTAGCGCTTTTACTGCTATGCCTGTCAAAGTAGAGAAGACAAACGCTTTGTCTTTTGAGTGGAGTGAAAAATTAAGGGCTTTCATGTTTCCATCAGAAAAAAAAACTGTGAACCTGCCGCGGCTGTGAGGTCCTGCGAGCAACCCAGCCCTCCACTGACGTGCCGGGAAGAAGGAACTGCAAATACAGATAATGGGTAAAGGTAAGGGTAGCACAATGAAACTTAAGTTACTGTGCAGTCTGCCTTCCTGCTGCTTTAAGGATCAAAATATCTCTCTCATACTACGTACCTAATTTGTCCCTGTGTTCTTGACCTCCTCCTGGCTATTTTCAAGTTCTCTGAGGATCAAAGTCCCAGGTGTCTTGAAATCATCGGTAAAAGTCCTGGTGCCTCTGCTGTGTGAGCTGTTGGACTCAAGTGAGAAAGAGGCTTGCGCGTTCCTCCATGGGTGAGTTAGAAGACTATGGGTTTGCTACTTTTCACCTTGCACTCCAGGTAGCTCGTGCTTAGCCCATGTATTTCTGCCAAGAAATGTTCTCTTTCTCAGTGGAGAGTACTTAGAGCAATGTTTTCCTCATGATGAAACAATCTCTGTAGTAGCTTCAAGAGAGTTTTCTGTTCAAGCGTTTATTCTCTTTTCAAGCTGAATCCTGGCAGTCCTTACTTGTTTTTGTAATCAGCTCCAGATGTTCAAAGTACTAAGCACCGGCCAAGGTATTCATAATATCAGTCTTTGCACATCTGTAAGGCAGACATCTGCACCTGAACTATTTATCTAGATATTCTTTGTAGTTAATAGGGAAACAGAGGCATTTCTGTGATGCAACTCCTCTCGTCCTGGAGCAGAAATTCGAACAAATGTGGAGACAGCACATTCCAGTGTCTCAACTGGTGATAATGGGTATCTAGGCAAAAATTAACTTGGAAATGGATAGCTGCCTTGTCTTTCACATTTCAGATTAGTCCAACGCTTAGTGATCATAACAGCCGCAGATAGTAGAAGCTATTTTTGGAGCCACAGGTTTTTAGAAACTAGATACTAGGTGAAAGGCAGTCCTTTCCAAGTCTTTGGCAGATATAACCAAATACCTCTTTAAAATGGGTATTCTGGTGCCCTGTCCTTGTAATTCTTCCATATCATAGCTTCTACTTGTTTCTTTTCATCTTCCTTTTTAGCCTTGTTTTAATTGCTGAAGGAAGCAAAAGCCATGACACCTTTTTTGGATGTGTACATGTTGGGGGGGGGGCAGGTTGCAGCTGGGATTTTGGAAGCCTTTGACTAAGTGAGACATCTAATTTTCTAGATTCCAGCTTCTTAAAAATATTACACCCCAAAGGTTCTTCACTTTCTTGTCAAAACAAGTCCTAACAGGCCTGATTGTACAGCTGAATCCATTTTTTTTTTGGTGCTATAGGACAAAAGAGACACACAGAACTTCAAAGCTGAAACAAGGGGTGATTCATAGAAACAAAAAAGTACAAGCAAATGAGATATTAGTCAGTAGTCAAGCCTCAATATTAATCATTAGCGACTTTTTTTCTAAATTAGCAAAGGAGATTTAAGACGGATTACTCCCTCACTGAGAGAGAGGTGTGTGTCGGTTTTTCCAGGCTCGGTGAAGCAGCTTAAAACACATCTCAGTCATTCATAAAGATAACAAACAGTTAATGGAAATTTGCAAAGTGGGTTGCTTGGAGACAGCATCAGAAGGCCAGGCTGCTTGCAGCCAGAGTAAGAGGTGCAGGAAATACAACAGCAATTGAGGGATGCAAAGAGAGAGGTGACATGGACCAAAACGTAGGCTAGGAAAAGAATATTCGGAGTGACTTTCTGAACAAATATGCACCTGATTTCATATTAGTCCTTTAATAAGTAGCACCAGACTAAGATGACCTCCTGATAGGTTGGCTGGACCTGTTGTTGAGGCCATTTGTATCTTGAAGCCACTCACAGCTTTTTCGGACAAGACAGCTCTATCCATTCAGGTAAGAGGCTATCCTTGCCAAAAGAAATCAGGCAAAGTTATTTAACTCAGTCTGCAGCAGCTTTTTATTAGACTTTCTCATCTTACATAGTTAATAGGGAAACAGAGACATTTCTGTGAGGCAATGTTTCATTTCAAACCACTTTTTCTTTTCCAGAGAGAAATGTCCTAAACAATTTCTTAAGTGCCTTTGAGTCTCTGCACTGCTGTTAACTGCTGTCAATATGAAAGGCAGCGATCCCTCTGGCGTTCGCCTTCCCGAGCGACGCAGAAGCAGATAACGCACAAGCACCAGTGGAATGGCTAGACAAAATCACAGCACAGTGACTGAGTTTATTCTCTTGGGCTTGACAGATCATCCAACACTGCAGGTTCCACTCTTCATCGCGTTCCTCATGGTCTATATTGCTACTTTGATGGGAAACCTGGGAATGATCTTGTTGGTCAGAGCTGAACCCCACCTGCACACCCCCATGTACTTCTTCCTCAGCCATTTGTCCCTTGTTGATATTTGCTATTCATCATCCATCGTGCCTAAGATGTTAGTCAACTTTTTGTCTGAAACAAAAGTGATTTCCTTCTCTAGCTGCGCAGCACAAATGTCTCTTTTCCTCAATTTTGTTGTCACAGAGTCTTTCCTACTGGCTGTGATGGCTTATGACCGTTACGTAGCCATCTGCAATCCACTTCTTTACATGCTTATTATGTCCAGAAAACTCTGTATTTGTTTAGTAGCTGGATCCTATATATGTGGTATCATATGTTCCCTGATACACACTTATTCCGCCTTTCAATTATCCTTCTGTGGACCTGACACCATTAATCATTTTTTCTGTGATGTTTCTCCAGTGTTAGCTCTTGCCTGCTCTGACACACACATCAATGAAGTGCTGCTTGTCGCCTTCGCTACGTTTGTGGAAACTAGCACGATCATAATCATCCTCGCCTCTTATACTGTCGTTATCCTGGCTGTGCTGAGGATCCGCTCTGAAGAGGGAAAGTACAAAGGCTTCTCTACGTGCGCCTCCCATTTAACGGTCATCACTCTATTCCACGGGACCGTCCTTTTTATGTATTGCCGACCCAGCCATCTCTATTCTATGGACACAGACAAAATTGCCTCCGTCTTTTACGCGGTGGTGATCCCCATGCTGAACCCCCTCATCTACAGCCTCAGGAACAAGGAGGTGAAGGATGCTTTGGGAAGACTCATGAGGAGAAAAAATTCCTCCCGATGACTGTACGTGTTGCTAGGCTTTAGAGCACTCATAACACAAATGTGAAAGGAAGAGAAGTATCCAGATCTCTGGAAACGCACCCTTATGTCTCACAATGTCGCTAACAAGTGCGAAGGACTTTCAGTTGCAAAGACGTCCAATATATCTCTCATAGAGAACAATGGTGAATGAAAGACAGAGGAAGGTCCTACATACAGTGAATTTTCTTTATGTTAAATATATGTATGAGACAGTGGCCCCTTGATTCCTCCATGGAGCTGCCATGCCACCTTGCTTGATATAGAAATCTGCTGATATAACAGCCCTTGCATACCAGGGTTTCCAGCTACACTTTTAGTGCTAAGTCTTGCATTTAGATTGGAATTTGGCTTACCTAATCAAAACTACATCAAAATTAGACGGCCAGTCTAAATTTGTCTGTTTTCCTCTATTCTGCTTAACAGAGAGAGACAGGAACCTGCAGTGGGTGATTCACCCTAGCCTCTTAATAAGATACGCAGAGTGGAAAAAGCAGGGTGAATTGAATTCCAGACTGCATTATCCCTCTCGTTTGAGTTGCCTTTAAAGAAATTAATGCAAGAAAGAGAAACAAAGTGTGTTTTGTTTTTCAAGTTAAAAGTTTGACTTACCACAATTCCAAACAATCATCTAAGTTCCACGTGTATTCAGAAAACATATTGTACATAGAATTGTGTAGCATCCTTGCTGCACAGCTTCATAAAAGCTGGTATGAGGAAATCAAGCGTAGGCCGTATAATTCAACCACCATTCAATTTTTATCACATTGTAATCGTAAAATATATGTCTCTGTCTTGAGGAAGTGGTGGTCCCCTGCTGGGTTAGGTGATACTTTATCAGACTTCAGGATCTCCGGGAGTACTGGAAGTCTTGATTTCTTTCATGAATGACAATGACTTGTTTTCTTCTGGTGGCAGCAATGTACGGGAATAGCAGTGAAATAAATTCGCAGAGATTAAAAGAATAGAACTATCATTGAGATGCTTGTCTGTGAATCCATTTCCACACCTTCGATCTTCTATCAAACTAGTCACTCCTATTCTTTCTGTCTGTGTATCTGCTTTATGTTTACAAGCAGTCCCCCTGTTAAAGTATGTCCTTGTTTCAGTGCAATTACAGATGCTTCCAGAGATTGATTCAGGACCGGGGTGTCTCCAAGAGGCAACACATCCCATCCATTCTCCTTGACTAGCTACAGAGGAGGCTGGGCTGACTAGGCTCCCAGTTAAGGAAACTATCATTTTAAAGCTAGCATCTGTTATCATTTCCCTACTGCCCTCTTGCCTCAAACATTTTAGGAGACCTGGAGTTTGACTGAGGTTTGAAGCAGAGCACAGTGGTTTCCTGCCTGTAGCCTGTGTTAACTGGCAGTTGCAAGAATGTGGTCGTGATGGATCCATCTGGTCCTCAAATATCTTAGTGATTAACAAATAAATTCTAGGGATAAAAGCATTTTGATTAGCTGAGGAAGTCATTCCAGCTGGATCAACACCATCTTCTTACAAACACTCACTAGGCTAGGCCCAGATCCCTTTGCTCCCTGACCGTGGTTTAAGTGCATATAGCTTATTTTTCATTTACAGTGCATAAGGATTGTTATCTTGGCTCAGCTGGTGGTCGGTAACTTGTTAAATCCTGGTAATAAGACAAGACTGAATTTTGTAATGTGTTGATAGATTTGAATGTGAGTGATATTCAATTGTATAAACATGACGAGGCGCTGAGGCTACTGCGGTATTGATGCTAACTTTGTGCCCCACACCACATAATCCTCCCTACTGTCTGCCCCCAAGTGTGCCTCCATCTCTCCACCCTGATTCCCCAACCTGCCTCCTCACAATTCTGGTGGAGAATCCTTTCCCCTCCCTCCCTCCCTCGATTTGTAAGGTAGCGTAGGTTTATGGGAGGGGGAGCTAGTGAGGGAGGAGATCATCCTGGATTAGTGGCTGTCATACACCAAAATAGGGGGGACCCATTTTAGCAGGGCTTCAGCTGGCATGGCATTCACGGTGCGGTGGTGTTTCCCCAGGGCATGCCCTGCAGAAAGGTTAGTCCAGTTGGAAAGCAGGAAGATGGGAGACCCATCCCATGGTCATTTGTCCCTGCCTCAAAATCCCATTGCCCATTATTCAAGATATTTGTTAACATATCAGTATTTGGCAATATCGTAATGTTTGTTCAGGTGTCTGCATTATCAAGGACTCAATTTTGCAGTTCTTCCCATGTCCACAGCTGCCTTCTTAGGCTTGCAAAAATAGCACTGAACTGTATTAGGAAGAAGGGGAATGACCAGCTGTTAAGAACTGGAAATAGTCTGCTTTGTTCACGGCAGCAAGACAACCCTGTTCAGCAGTAATTTAGAGTAGAACAAGCATGAAATCCACAGCTTTTTGTGACTCAGAATTCAAGCCCATCATCACTTAAAGCCATTGAATTCATAATACATTTGCCTTTGGAAAACTCTCCTTGGCATCTAGTCTTAAATGCTAGATTGGGGGCCTGAATTGCTGAATCCAGACCCTCGAGCCTATGCTCCCCTTGAGGGTCAGTGTGTTTGAGAGAGAAACATTTTGACTTGGACAATTAAACTCTCAGCCCTCCGCAGCGCAGAATAGGTGCCTGCAGTTACAAAACCTCATCCAGGATTCACCCAAGCCTTCTCAGTCTCAGGAAATCATTTCTAAGTCCCCTCCCAGAGGAGCTTGTTAAGACAATGTTCCCTGGGACACCTATTATTTCTGACTGATGAAATGCTGGAGAAATAGAAGTTATTTGAGGGGAGGGGACAAAACTCTGGCTACTGTTCCCCCTGGTGGCAATGGATCCTCACAACACCTGCAATTTTCTAGCTAGAATACAGTGAGATATGGGGGTGTGCGATCTCTGGCAGGAGCTGGCTTTTGCAGAGGAAGAAATATGGCCTGTTTTTCCTCTGTCTTTTTTCTGACCTTCATTTTCTTTTTTTATTTGTTTCTTAACGTTCCTTTTCCCCACTGCCTCAAGCCTAAGCGCTAATTCTCTGGACGCAGCTTGTATTGATAATGTGTTTTCTTTTTCTCACTGCTTTTAACAAACCACTGTGGGCATAATTCAGAAAGCCAATTAGGCTTTGTTTCAAAACATTTAATGGCTGAAATTGTGAAAGAAAAAAACGAAGAGAGATGTATGATGGAGGGGCCTTAAAGGAGCTAACAAGGAAAGATCAGCTTAACGCTGCAAAGGTCTGGTAAATCAATGGCCTGGTTTCAAGGCTAGACCTAATTAAAAATTCATATTTCTTCTTTAGTAGGCTTATTCACCTTATCCCCTTATCATCAAAGGACGGCTTCATAGTTTATCGATTCAGACCTTGTGTTTCTGTCTTTCCTAGGAAAAGCCTTACAGAAGCTGGCTCTCAGATGCCAGGCTCATAAATCATTGAGACCCCAAGGGCAAAATGTAGTGTTTAGGTTAGCTGAGAAGCTTGTCCAGACTGTTTGAAACACTCTGGATAACAGAGCTGTTTTCACTTGCTTATCAAGAAAATTTCAACCTCTGGGTTAGTCCCAAGGACAAGAGCCATCATCCATTGAATAACATGGATAAACCACAACAAACTGTGTAGCTGATGACACACAGCGGAGTAAAGCGATGAATATTTGTGCCTCTCCATTTTACATTTGCCAGCACAAATGATCATGTATAGGTGGAGTTTGTAAAGAGCAACTGTCAGGAGACAAACACAAGGTGGGCATATTTCTATGTCTAGGGGCATATTTCTGTAGGCAGTCTCACTGGTTGCAGTAAGAATCCGAGCAGAACACAGGAGAAGAAGAAATGCTTATCCCAACTCACTACGCGATGCTAATCTCCGTGAGAAACCTTGTAGCATGGACAGGCAGTAGTTTGAAACATTGTGAGAAATTGTTTGGCTTTTTCTCTGCTAGAGACATCTATCTACTAAAACCAAAAGTGGAATGCCCCATATCCTTTAATACACTGAGCAGATGGCTGTAGCTTTGTACTAAAGCTAATTTAGGGTTAGAGAATGACAAGGAAACCAGTAGGATAAGTGTACATGTCTACACGCACAAAACACAATATATTGCATAATATATAAAAACACGCAGTATAATATAACATTGTATTTTACATTAGATATACTCCTCAAACAATTCTGGTCCAAAGGGACATCTGGAGGTCTCTGGTCCAATCTCCTGCTCACAGGATGGCTGACTTCATAGCAAAATCAGGTTGCTCAAGGCCTTGTCTCGTTAAGTTTTGACTGTCTCCAAGGATGGAGATTCCACAGCCTCTCAGAGCAAAATTCCCAGTTACTCTTCGTTATGTGCATTCCTCTGTCAGTTCTTAATGAGGGCATGCCTGTAGGGTACAGTTCAGCTGCTACAGTGAGTAGCAGCTTTGAGTCCCGCTTTGTGAAGCTATACTCACTGCATTTGCAGTTTTTCAGTGCCTACATGACTGTGTTCATTCTGTTCGACGCAATTCTTTCTGCTGTTCTCCTCAGAGCATCCTTCACTTCCTTGTTCCTCAGGCTGTAGACGAGGGGGTTCAACATGGGAATCACCACTGTGTAGAAGATAGAGACCACTTTGTCACTGTTCGGAGAGTAGCTAGAGCTGGGACGCAAATACATGAAGATTGTTGTCCCATATAACATGCTCACAGCTATCAGGTGGGAAGCACAGGTAGAGAAGGCTTTCTGTCTGCCTTCAGCTGAACGGATCCTCAGGATGGTAACAGAGATGAAAACATAAGAGACCAGGATGGTGGAGATGGTGCTGAACTCAATAACACCGGCTAAGGAGAAGAGGATCATCTCGCTGATGTACGTCTTGGTGCAGGACAGAGCAAGGAGGGGAGGAACATCACAGAAGAAGTGGTTGATAACATTGGAGTTGCAGAAGGGCAGCCTGATGATGAAGGTCATCTGTATGACAGAGTTCACGAGACCCCCCAGGTACGACCCTACCACCAGCTGCATACACCGCCTCCTAGTCATAACGGCTGAATAGAGAAGAGGGTTACAGATAGCCACGTATCGGTCATATGCCATTACAGCCAACAGAAAGCATTCGGTTGTCACAAAGACAATGTAAAAGAAGGCTTGCCCCGTGCAGCCAGCAAAGGAAATGGTTGTCGTCTCTGATAGGAAGTTCACCAAAGTCCTGGGAGCAATGACAGAAGAGAAGCAGATGTCAACAACAGAGAGGCTGCCAAGGAAAAAGTACATAGATGTGTGGAGTCGGGGATCACCTCGGATGACTACAATTATCCCCATGTTGCCCAAAAGGGTAATCACGTAGATGAATAGAAACACCACAAAGAGGACTGCCTTCATCTCTCGATGGTCACTCAGGCCCTCAAGAATGAACTCTGCCACCAAGGTGTAATTCTCCTCTGCCATTCAGTGTCTCACATCTATTGAGGAGGAAGAGAGCATTAAAACTTAAGGCAATGGAAACTATGCCTTTTTCCCCCCCTCCTCTCTGTTTAAACTGGAATGGGATAACTTGTTTATTTACATCTTGTACAGACAGGGCACACTGATCATTCATTTCTAGGGGGTTAGAGTGGGACCGACCACACTATGGCCCTTGAGAAGTTAGTCATCTAGTCTAAGCTAGTCTTCCTTTATAATCCAAGGAAGGAGAGAGGCACCTTCTGAATGGAAAGGGAAAGCATCCCAGCTTTCCTACACACCTATCTCGGCATAGAGGAAATCACTTCTGAAGGTGTCTCACTTTTCTGCCTGTGGACAGAGCTTAGGGTAGGTTCATTTCTATCTCAGTATCTCATTTTGGTACCTGTAGTTTGATGGGATTGGACACAGACTGAATTATCAGTTCTGCCCTTGACCTCTTGTGATCAAGATTTTCTCCACATCACATTTTCCCTTTCTACCTTTTTCAAACAGAGCGTGATACAGTGCCTAGAAGAATACAGCTTTGATTTCAGCAGGGGCTGCTGGTTGGTGTTGTAATACTTCAGAATAAGAGTAGAAATACTGCATCTTTCCTTCACTAGTTTTGGAAGCAACCCTGAGGTAAAGAGAAAGAGTAATGAATTTGTTGGGCCGGAGGAAGAGAGGGAGGGAGCACTGCACTAACCTAAGAGTCATTCAGAAAATGAGGAGTTTAATATTACAGTCTCAGAAGCTTTGGGGAGAGGAAGACAAAGTCTGGAAGGGAGATCGTGAGGCCATTTTGGGTCTGAAGGCAAAAGAAAAGAAACTAATCACAACACACACAAAGCTGAAGCATATTCCAGTTCTTCTGGCCGTCCCACTTCTCAAATCTCATGGAGAGCTTCAAGCTTCAGCTATCACACTGCTAGCTTTTCTCCTGGCCTCTGCTGTGTACCCTGTTGCCTCTCACACCATCTAATTCCTCTAGGCTTCCCTACCTTTCTCTTTACCTTGCTTTCCTCTCTGTCCTTCCACTTGTGACTGTTTGCGCCAAGCCTCTCCAGATGGCTCATCTCACCCTTGTGCACTTTACCCTTCTTCTATCATTCTGCGTCCCTGAATCTCTTTTTCAACCATCGTTTTTAGCCCTCATTTAATCTTTCTGAAGCATGGTTTAAGTTGTAGCCAACCTATTTGGTTTTCAGTAGCTGAGTGCGATTGAAGAGGCTATACATTTAAGAGTTAAACGCCACAAAAATCTATCTTGATTTCCCTTTGATATTCAGAGCAAATGCATTACCCTTTGTATTAAGGTACCAGGTACAGAGAGTTCATATGGGTTTAACAAATAATAAATAGACCTTTCAATCAATGCTCCAAGCTGTTACAGAGGTCAGCAGGTCAGCAGAGCCCACCTTGTACTTGTTCATCACTTCCCTTTGCTCTGCTTTCAATAGGCCATGACAGGCAGCAGTGATCTTCCCAGTGTGTGGATAACAGCAATTAATCACGCCTTCTATTTTCGAAATGGTCTGAAATATGACATCTGATTTACATAAGTGATGTATTTAAATGCCACTAGAGGTAGTTGTGAGTGTTTATGAGTATGAACTCTCCATACTGTACTGACTAATTGAAGCAAAAGTGGAATCCACGGTATTATCATTGGCCATTGGTTCCTGGCGGAACATAAAGTAACACCTTGTGCTTTCCCCAGGGTGCTGGGCTAGCAGATTCCAAGTCTGAATTGCACCTACTCTACAGATGAAAACAAGGTACAGCTTCAGCCCCATACAGAGCTGGGGTTGCAGTGAGAGGCAGGAAAAGCACTGTGAGGAGAGGACACACCAAGTGATAAAAAAATACAAGCAAACAACTAAAGCTGGGATAAACAGTGTCCTTGGTAAAGTGAATTTTGCACTCACCATATATTTCCTGTTCCCATAAAAACACCAGCACCTCAGTTCCTTTGAAATCATGAAGTCTTTTTTGTCTTAAAACCACAAATTTTAGTCTTCAAAAAGTAAATTAATTTACTGATAAGTCTTTTTTCTCTGAAGGAATCCTCTCAGGACAGCTTTAAACTCCTTGTTTCTGAGGCTGTAGATCAGAAGGTTCAACATTTAGCATTCAGAAATGCTAAATTCCCAGTTACATACAATTTTATTTCATTCCTTCTTGTCAATATCTATGATCAATTCAATACATTTTTCATCCATGTTATGTTCATTATGACCTTTTTACTAATGTTAGATGAGATAGTTAGTAATGTGAACAATAAACATGTAGAACAAATTGAAAGGATCAGTTAAGCTACAACATAAGACTAGATGAAATACATTTGCAATGCATAAGGCAAGATTAAATCATGTAGGGATTAGAGAAACAAAACATTCTTGCAATGTATTTACATGCATGTGATAGAGTACGTCTACAAAATTTTCTTTAATCTTTCCTTGCCTATTTCCAAAAAATTTTGGTTAAATCCCTGCTTCAAGATCAGCTTCTAACTGCTATAAAAATGATCAGGTTTGCTTACAGCCAATGGAGTTTTACAACCATGCATTATTTGAGGATTTGCCCCTTAAATCTCTCATTTTATACCTGCTTTTCCCCTCCCTTTTTTTAGACTTCCTTGTTTCAAATTCAACACAGTCATACTGCTTAATGTGGAGAATAACAGAAATTACTCCGGCTGAGCTTCGCGTCAAATTTCATTGCAATTATCTGTGAGCTCACATGCAAACAAATGGGCAAGTATGAGACTCTGGAAATAGGCCAAAAGATACGCTCGTTCTGTTTCTCATTTAGTCAGAAGCATGACGCTGTCAGCCTAGGGACATATGTGACATATCATGCGTTAACCCAGCTAATTAACAGTGTTAGACTCTTTAGTCTGTCCGTTCTGAGTGCTCTCACTCTTGTGATAGGCAGGAAAAGCACGCCAGGACTCCCCTGACCATCGAAGTAAGAAAGACATGCTCCTGGTCAAAGCAACAATGTTTTTGTTGTCCTGCTCCAAGCTGCGCTGATCAGGCATAGGGCTGTTTGACAGATACCCCTGGAAAGGGCTGATAACATTATTCCTTTTTTAACCTCTTCAGTTCTTCCTTTTTACCACCCTCATCCCCTCCCAGATTAACAGCCCTCCCTTGTTCACTGTAATACCTTGTAACTTCTGATGTTGTTGACCCTGTGAGCATAACCCCACTACAGATGGCCATCTATATACGTATACCAACAAATACTGAGGCTGCATCAGGTAATAGTATACACTTCTTTGAGGGTGCAGCCGACACAGATTCAGTATGAAGTCAGAAGGGAAAGGCGTGGGCAAGGAATGACTTGGGGTACCTTAAATTTGAATTGTCCTGTGGAACTGCTGCTTCCAGTCTAGCTGCACATATTAGCAAAGCCCTTAGTCAGCGCATGTCAGCCCTTTTTTTTCTGTTCTTTATGTTCTATTGGGAGCTCCTCTTCTGGTGCATACCAACCCATCTGCAGCCTGTAGCAACAAGGGAACTGGTCAGTGGAAACACATCAGCTTCTACTAGATGGGATCTTGCTCACAGGTATGCTTCCATGAATTTGAGTCATCTTGAATTTTTTGATCTAGTACAGGTAAATTACCTAGGCACTAGTAGGAGAAGAGCTGAGCATCTCCACAAAGAAATTAAGCCTACTGAGACATCAGTTTTAGGACACTCTATCCCAAGGATGTACCTATTTGTTTCCTCTCACCAAAAGCCTAATTATTACCTTAGATTTAAACGCCTCTCTTCTAGGTGAATCTTACCTTTCATAAACATTTATTTGAGACTATTTCTGCAGCCCAAGGTCTCCTGTAGACCCCTGAGACAAATTACTGCAAAGCTGTATGCAGAACATTGCTCTACTGCATCATGGTAAGGGAAGACTGTGAAGGACTTTCAAAAACCGATTTTGGAGCTAGAAGTTCCTGTTCCTTTCCTTCTGGGTGCACTGGATATCGTGATCTAATAAACAGTTATCATGACATTGCCTCAGAAACTGAGAGTCCTCTGGTTTATATGTCCAATGGAGTTGTTGATATTCTCTTTTACTCACTGGAGGGACATAGGTACTTTGACAATGGGAGTCAGCACTTGAGTTTTAGATGCTGCTTTAGGCTGAGCTGTTTAAAAGAACAGCAACTATCATGAACTCGGTTAGCTCTAGGAGATACACTGTTCCTCCCACTCCGTTATCCTCCATAATGTCAACCATTGCACTGATTAAGAAAAGATCTTCTGGGACACTGTCCTCCTCAAGGCACCCTTCACCTCTTTATTCCTGAGGTTGTAGACCAGGGGGTTCAGCATTGGGG